TTTTTTTTTTTTTTTTTTTTTTCTTTTTTTTTCTTTTTTTTCATGACCGGCAACGGATCGCAACCCTCAGTGTCGCGCCTGTACGGGACCGGGACCGGCAACGGGATCACAACCCTCGGTGTTGCTCCCGCACCTCGCTCAGCCAGTGAGCGGCCGGTCTGTATGTGGGATCCGAACCCTCGGTGGGAGCGCTGCCGCGCTCCCAAGCGGTGCACCGTAGCATGCGCCACCGGGCCGGCCCTACGTTGCAGTTTTTAAAACTCAAATATGACTTATGGTAGATTGGATTATTTTTCAGAAATAGTCACTTTTTCCATTTCTTTCTGCATGGGTGGGGTGTACATCCTGTCTCTTGACTTTGGGTTTGGCCTTGTTTTGGCCAGTGGGATGTTAACATGAGTCTGATCAAAGTCTCGAAAGGTATTGACCTGATGATTAGGTTTGCACTATTGTTCTTTAGAATTGCCATAGGAAGAGCTTTCCTACAGGGAAGTTGCTGCTGCTCCTTCAACCTGGGTTTCAGAATGAACACATGTGGAACAGAGCTGCCCCAGCCAACCTGCACAACTAGCACCTGAAGCAGTCACCACAGCCAAATGGCAGACTGTAGCAGTCAGGTTTTGGGACCCAGCAGTAGCTAATTGGTGCAGCAATAGACCTCTGACTCAGTCCTTCCTACCTCTCAGCCCTGTTCCCCAGAAACAAGTATCTTTAAGTATTTAAATTATTTCAGTATTTTAAAACAGTTTGCTAATATTTTTCTTTCTCATTTATTGTCTTTAGTCATTATATATTGATTTCCTGGTAGATGGTATAATTTTTATTTCACAGATGTAAAGGTTGAGGTCCAGAAGGGTGAAATGACTGTAGAAGGTCCTGCAGTCTTGGTCAAATTCAGATATTGATGCTAAATTTCACACTCTGCCCACCATATACTTTGTCAGTTACTTAATAATAAGTCAGTGACACTCATGACACTTGCTTTATAGTTCATACCTATTTCTCATCACACATTTGTAGAACAAAGCCCAAAATTAAACCATTTACCAAAAAATGTTGCTCTGGTACTGGCAATGAAGACACCTATTAGTTTAGTTCCTTCTTTCCAGGCAGAACAACCCATCCTATGTACTACTTTTCCCCCTCAACATTTGACAAATCTATGCATTGTGGAAAGTACAAACAAAAAGTTCTCCCTGTTGGGCCGGCCGGGTGGCGCACTGCTACAGTGCGCCGCTTGGGAGCGCGGCAGCGCTCCCACCGAGGGGTCGGATTCCACATACAGACCGGTTCCTGCTCACTGGCTGAGCGAGGTGAGGGCGCAACACCGAGGGTTGCCATCCCGTTGCCGGTCCCATACAGGCGCGACACTGAGGGTTGCGATCCATTGCCGGACATGAAAAAAGACAAAAAAAAGGAAAAAAAAAAAAAAAAAAAAACCTCTCCCTGTTTTCAAGGAACTAGTCAGTTTACTGCAGCAGATGCAACATTTAATGGAGAGATATTCTGTCTTGTGGAGCTCACAATTTAGTAATGGAGAAATGTCCTTGACAATGTTAGCAACAGCCACCCATGGCCGTTCTGATCCTGGTTGTGAAACACAACTCCCCCTAGAATTATCCTGATCACAATAGCGAAGATACTGCTGCCAGGTTATTTCCCTCCCCCCCCCCCCCCCGCTCCCGTCACGATTACATTTGGCATCTCATCTTACTAAGTAAACACTCTAAAATAAATCATTCTGTATGACTGTTATCCTTTTATTTCATTGATGGGACTTACCATTCTAGCATTTTTGTGTATTTTGTGTACTGTCTGTCTCCTAGTCCTGTGAACTCCCTGAGAGGACCTTCTTGTCTTGGTCACTGCTGAATCCCCAGCATCTACTAGAATCCTTGGCACATAGCAGGTGCTCAATAACTATTTGCTAAATGTTTTTTTAATTTCACCCTATATTATTTGACAGCTTTTTTTGATTATCGCTATTGTTTCCGACAGGCCAGGCTCGGCTTCCCCTCTCGCATTAAACGAATGACCTGAAAGTCCAAAA